TTTGTCCATGACGACCTGTCATGGATGCTGGGTAATCTACGTCTGTTTCAGAACAATGGTTACTCCGTCTGCTGTCCGTGGAGCAGCCCTTGGTTGTTCATTGGTCCAATGAATCTACAAAGTTACTTCCTGTTGGTAGGAAGAGTGATAGCTGGATCGCATCTTTTATCGTTTTAGTTAAGAGTTGGATTCCTTCTCGAGAAGTCCCATTGTCTAGATACTCCAGATCTTCCTATCGAGGAAGGCCTTGTAGTGTTGATTTCAATCCCGACTTCTTGAAGTCTTTTGGAAAGGTCATCTAACTAATCAACGCGATCTGCGAGATCGAGGTCCGTTAGGATGAGTTGATCATCAACGTATACACGGACATTTTCCAAAAGTCATGCATGCCTGTTTTCATCTTTTTTTGGAAGATGTCGGGACTATTACCTTAGGCCCATTGCAACCTCTGGTACTCGTAGCTTTTCCCTTCGCGAGTGCAATGGCATAATTGTTGCTTCAGAGTGTTATTTTGGTGACTGCTCGATGTGGTATTGTCGCGTGTTCAGGTCTAGATTGGTAGCGCACTTGAATCCATCTGGGTTCAAGAGCATGTCCTGTATTTTTGGAATAGGATAAGGCTTCCGCCTAATCCTTTTGTTCCGGTTCCCGAAAAATCCGAAGATGAATCTTGCAGATCCATCTTTCTTTGTAATGATGAAAGTTGGTGACGCCAACTTGGAACGATTCACCTTCTTGAGTGCGCCTGTTTCGCAGAGACGTTCAACTCCATCTTAAGAGTGTTTGTATTGACACGTGGAGTAGGATAAGCCCTAGCGTGATAGTGTTTAGCGTCAGGGAGGATTTCTACTTCGTAGTCGTCCCTTCGCAACTATCCCAAAGTATCCTCGACTTGGTTGAAGCACTTGGTTGAAAGGCATGAGGCAGTTCTTAGCCTCCTGCTTGTTTAACGGATTTCGACTTTGGCATATCTGCCTTAAAAGCCTATTTGTTCGTATGTCGTAACAAGAATCTTCTTGAGAGCTATTTGCATTGTCGCTGGCAGCTGCAGCATCGGAAATGGAGAAAGTTCTCCTTTCTATTGTGGTGGCTCTTGTTTCGTCGGGAAAAATGCATGGTTCCACCCAATGACATGGTAGTGAAAACAAACTTGATTCTTAGGTCGAAAAGAGTGTCTTGACCTATGATCACGTCTTGCGCCCCAAGTTTCTTGGTGACGTGTAAATTCCTTTTGATAATTCTATCATCTGGGAACTCAGGAATCGCGAGTGTGCCCTTACTCTTCGTGCGGGGTCTCAATCCCTTCATAGAAGCAGTCCGCAATGTTTGGACGCCCCCATGATTCTTTCATCGAGTAAACTATTAGCATGCGTTTGAGCAATTAAAGTTCCGGATGCTTTTGTATCCAGTAAAGCAACTGAGTGTAACGGGTTTTGTTTCCCTTTTTCTCGTCTGTTAAATCTAACATAGACGATAAGTTTCAAGGTCTCTTGTCGTGCGACGTTGATGAGTTGATTGGCCATGGACGAAGTTCACGATGCTGAACAGATCGCCAGAGTCTAGTTGAGCAGTTAATAGGCAATTATCTAATTGCCGTAGACTTCGTTAGTTGTAAACAAATCTTGTTTACTCTTTATTGAGATATCTTCATACCTTAGGTTATGAGAAATCGGAATATGGTTCGGTTGAATCATCATCCTGGCCTAATCCCCAGACGGAGATCTTCCATCCGAATGATTGAAGTCGACTTCGGCAAGCGCCTTGTCGACAGCAGGCATCTTCTTGTCCATCATGTTGATGAATCAAACAGAGGAGTCGTACTCATTGTCGGAGTTGTCAGACATGCGCTTGGCAACATGGTTGCAATCGCTTTTCTTCTTGCGATCAGCCTGTACCGCAGCGTTGGAAACCTTCTGCATGAGGACAGAGAGTTCTTTCTTGTTGTAGGTCTTGGCGTCGTCGGACCTTGGCGTTTCCACATTCTTGTTCTTGTTGTACACTGGCTTGCTATCGTTGTCAGACGAGGACTGAGAATTTGCCTTGAGCTTCTTCCAAGTCATGCAGTCAGCAGAGTTCTGAGTGCTGGACTCGTGGTAGTTACACCATTTTTCTTCGTCTTGAACGTGCGTCTTTGTTGCGAGATGACTTGTACTTCTTGCTGTTGTTCTTCTTCGCAGGAGCTTGCTTGGCATCACCTCCCTTGTCAAAGTCTTCGGAGGATTTCATGCGTTCGCAGAATCCCAATGGTTTCTCCGATAAGAGCTGAGAAAGGATCGAAGTCGTGTTCGTCAATCTTCTTCATCCACGAGCGTGGAATTTCATGAACAAACGAAGTCAATGACTTCGTCATGGTTCAATGTTTGGTTGGGTCCGAAAGGTGGTAGACGAGAAAGTTCATCGGTGTTCATCCGACTGAGGTTTGTGACATAAGCCCGAGTAGACATCTCAGCAGGCTTACGCATCTTGCCGGCGTATGAAGCGTTTCTGCTTTCAAAGAGCCTTGTAGGGACAGACCGCTTCGATACAGGCATTTATGCCAAACGTAATGTCAGCGTCGTCCAAAGCAGGCCGAGCTGCTCCGTTCCAGGCATGCTGGAAACGTGCTTGGAAAGTGGGCTTCGTCTTCACCGCTACGTATGTCGCGTGGAGGATTCGCGTTGACTGCAATCTGGCGGAAGGCATTCCAACGTATTTAACGGTGGCTTGCACAGCTAGATTCGTACTGCTCCTTGGCAGAGCTAGAAATCATTTCCTTGAGGAGGTTGTGATTGTCGTCAGGCGTAGCACTGGCGAGCCCGACGAAGACCTTCTCCATGCGTCAAGCCCACTTGATGGTCTGACGTGGAGTTCCAGATCCATTGATGATTTGGACCTTGAAGGTGTACTTGGCGCTGTTAGCATCCGCTGAATAGTGCGAAGTTTGTAGGTTGTAGAGCGAGAATCGTCGAATTCGCATTCATCATCGAGGTCGATGAGATGAAGGATTTGTTTGTCACACAGCTCTGGACTCGAAGCGGTGTAGTCGTCTTTGGCAATTCTTCATGGTGAGGAATAGGTTGAGGGTAGTGAAGCTATTGTGTTTTGTAACAAAATCACTACGCTAAAAGCTAGTGTAAAGATCTTTTCGAGTGTTTGAGTTGAAGAGAATGAAAGTTATGAGAGGATTAGAAAAGCTAGAAAACTAATCAACGAGAGAGATCCACAATCAAAGTATCTAGATCTGAACTCCCGCGGGAGACTGTAGAGTGTGATAGAGTAGGTTGCGGTAGCGGTCCTACTCACCTCCACGACCCAAAACGGAACGCGTGGAAGTTCGTCTACATTTATCTAGTAGCGTGGAATCTCTCCACGCAGCTAAATATCTATGCGCGATGTTTCACGCATCTGACCTATATGACTATCGCGGTCATGGAGAACCCTGTCTCAATACTATTCATCGAAAGACTCAGTCATGAGTCGAACTCAAACCCTATCTAGGATCGAGTCGCGAATAAGGCTAAGAGCCGTGTATTGCACTCTGCAAAGAACTTGGGAGAAATAGAGACTAGGCGTCACCAATCTGCAATATGCAACACCGCCAACAATTATTGACCCACGATGAGTGCTAAGAGAGGGGAGCGACATTGATAGAATGGTCTAGAACAATGTAGGTGACCAAATAGCAGGTGGAAATACAAGGAGGTGGGCTGCTGTTTTCAAAATGTAGCTATTGAATAATTCATTGTTCAGGCTTACTTTGAGCACTGTAATGAGTCATAGTGCTATTTCAGATCCTGTAAACACAACTTTCTATCATCCAGTCCAATCTGTGAGGTTGAATGCCGAGATCAGTGGAGCTGATCTTGTGCACCAAGTAGTCAATGATCTTCGAATCCGACCTTGATTGTAGCGTTTCATCAAGCAAACATTGAACAATCCTTCGTCCTTGGCCATCGCCTTGCACAAGTCCACCTGATAGTGTAGAGTCCACCAAGCTTTTCATCAATTCGATCGGCTGTCCGACGGGAGAAAACTGGGGATACAACACACACCAAATCAAGGAGTTTTTAAGGTTGTAGGATACCTGCGCAATGGGCACCAACAGCGACCATCGGGGCACTGCTGGCTGGCTGGCGATCAACGCCAGGGCCGTGGCGGCCACAAAAAAGACTTCGCCCGACAAACAAGTCATTTGCCAGAATAAATTGTCGGGTTGATCGGGCACGGTTCCCGTGGTGGACATGGGACCCATGTCAATGAGGGCTTCGAAAGCAAAGACGCAGTAGACAAAGTACAGGGCATGAATCATCAAGGCAATCCGTTGTGGTCGGGTGACGAGAACCATGGATCCAAGGGAATCGCGCGAGGTATAAGCAAGGCCCAAGACGACGGAAGTGGGCAACAAGACGGTTGCGGCACACGCCACACGGCCAGCAGGATTCCAAAATGGCATACTATTGTAGTGATATAATATAAAGAGAGAGAGAGGAGAGAGAGCCGGATAAAATGCATGTGCCCCCGTTGATCTTGCCTCCTTCCAGGGGAGGGAGTAGGCTGCAGTAATGACAGCTCAACTGGTTTAAGCAAAAGATCCAAAGATACTTGTCAACAAAATCCTTTGAAGCGTCAACAAGATGCCTCCGGTGGCGCCAACTACGGAAACAGAAATAGCAAAAAGGCATGACAGTGGATTGCACAACCCTCCCAGCTACTGACATGGCTCCCTAGCAGTTTTCCTAGCTCCTTCCCCCGCCCTACTAGTTCCAGCCCCGGTCCTGGTTGTACCTCCCCTGCTGGCATGAGCCCAGCTAGTTAGCCTCAGCTTCCCAGTCAGTGACATCTCTATAGCATTTCTCCTAGGCAGCTCCTTCCCCAGCTCAATGCCCAGTTTCATCCCAAATGCTCCTCCTGCTGAGAGCCTCAGCTATGAAGTTAGTATTACTGCTAGAGCTACCAAGCAACCCTCTTAGTCAGCGGAGGAGTCGGGTCGGTATGAGGAGTGGAGTTGGGTTACATCTGGCCGGTACCGCGTAATGGTATAATCTACCTTTTACTGTACTCACCATACAGGACTGTCCGGCGGTTTTCACTCAGACTTTAAAACGACCACGACTGGTTCTCATCGTAAGGGCATGTTTATTTAAGGGCATGTTTAAGGGCATGTTTCAGATTTAAGGGCATGTTTTAAGGGCATGTTTATATAAGGGCATGTTCATTCGTGATAAGGGCATGTTCTATGGTGTTTCAATGAAGGCTTAAGGCATGTTTCGAGGCATTAGAGGTATGTTTTTAGGGCATGTTTACATAAGGGCATGTTGAAGGGCATGTTGAAGATTTAAGGGCATGTTTAAAGGCATGTTTAAAACGGTGCTCAGGCGTGGAAATTTCAATTTTTGTTTTAGAGCCTGAGCGAAAACGGTCCGGTACCGTATGGTTAGCCTGTAACCCTAAAACGAGGACCAACCATTGATTGATTGATTGACACACCAAACAACAAAATCCGCAACAAGCCAACTCCATAGTTGGCGAAATGTCAACAAACAAAAAAGGGTCTTCGAAGTGTCATTGAAAACAAGAGCAAAGAAAGGAACCTTCATTTGTCAATGCCAAAAGAGACGACTATGCATACGAGAAAGCATGTAGCCATGCCTGGAAACTCCTTCTTTTCGGTCTTGCTGTTGTTGACAGCAGCGACTATTAGAGTTGACGCCTTTTCTTCGTCTACCGTCTTCTATCGACAGGGTCAAAAGAGCGATGAGCTTAAGATTGCCACCACCTTGGCCAAAGAGCTCATGAATCCGTTGGGAGTACAGAGCGAACGTTTTGTCGTGGCAACAGATAGTAGCAACAATGTGATTGGCTGGGCACAAATCAAACTATTGGGAGAGTTGGCATCTTCACAACGAGATCCCTCCAAGTTTGACTCTCGGCCAGGATCGGTGGACCTGGAGCAGGAACTGGACGAGGCCATGTGGGAAGAATTCGAAAAGAACGACAATATCCAAGTTCCCATCGGTTTCAAGTCGTTCCCGTGGACCAAGGAGTATCGAGCCATGGAGCAAGGGGTCAAAGATCGCGACCAAAGAAGAGCCGAGTTGCGGGCACAGCGAGAACGAGAATTGCAAAACGAGCAGTTGTGGGAACTGTCATCTGTCTATGTGGAGTCTTCCTTTCGGGGACAAGGCATTGGTTCCGAGCTGGTGAAACGAATTTTGCGAAAGCGAATCGTAGAGGATGGATATTTGCCGACGAGCATCTACTTGCTGACATTGGCGACAACCGTGGATTGGTATCAAGATAACTTTGCCTTTGAAAGCGTGTCTTCCAGCGATATTCCAGCACCCATGGCTTTCGAAGTCACAGCGGGAAACTTTATCACCAAACTGATTGGGGCGCAACTCTGCTGCATGCAAGGGACGCAACAGACTCTTGAGATTTGCAAGAGTGTTCCAGCCTGGTGACTCGTATACCGGTACATGTACAATCTGCAAAGAACTTGGGAGAGAACGAGCCTGGGCATCGAGAATCTGCAATCTGCAACACCGCTAACAGTTATTGACCCACAATGGTTGATGAGAGAGGGGGCGGCTTTCTAGAACATGTACCGGTAGGTGGCTGAAGAGCAGGTGGAAAGACCGGAAGAAGGTGGGCTGTGGTTTCCAAAATGTAGCAATTGAATAATTCATTGTGCAGGCTTACGTTGAGCACTGTAATGAGCCATTTCCCTATTACAGATGCTGTAAACACGACTTTCTAACATCCAACTAGTTCCCTTTTGGAATTGATGAAGGGGGAGACCCGTTCAAGGCCTTCTCCTCGTCATGAGAGAATTTTGGAAAGACAAGGAATCTCAGCTTTCCATGAACGAACGCAGCGGCACAACGAGGGGTCCTCGCAAACATTCTTGTGTCTCTTGAGTCTACCGTGGAAAATGAGACACTCATCGCCGGATACCCGGACAAGTAGTCTACGAGGAGGCCACCAATCGAATCAATCGCGCTCTTCGAGAATATCTCACCTACATCAACCACGAACCGAACGAAGAAGGAGGATCGGCCGCGGCCGATGCCGACAATCGCGACGGCGAAGAAGAATTGACCAAACAGCTGCTGCAATGTGCCCATCCGGATCGGTAGATTTCAAAGGGCAAGCCTGAATGTGGCAGAGTGTTGCGTTGTCGTAAAGCAGCCGTCCAAACTGCCCCACAAACTAGTCACTTTCGAATTGAAGATTTTCGAGGACAAGATCGAAATCAAAACGAAGGTCTATGTCAAGGAAGAAGGGAAGCAGGTGAATTTCCGCGATGGCGGGTTGGAGGAGAAGGAGGACGACATCGTGCGAGACGCCTATGTGGAATGGATTGACAGTGGCAGTGGCAGTGGCGAAGACGCCGTCCAAGGCGCTGACGACCTCTCTTTGAATTACACAAATGGATGTAATTCTTTTGTTGTCATGGATGCGACGTGTTGCTTGGCTGTCGTGAACGAATCTGTGTGAAGGAAACTACAAAGGGGCGAGGAGAGAGGTCGACCACGAACAAGGATGGATAGGATGGAGGGCGAGCAATGGCACGTCACCAAGACGGCCGATACACGAAACTCAACAGCGTCAGTTCGGTTGTGCGTCCGTGTTGTTGCGAAGGATGTGGGTGGCGTGTGATTGGATTTGTGCCAGGTACTCTATTAGTTAGCTAGCTAGAAGCATAATTAGAGATTAGTGTTTCCTGAGATAAACTTTTGCGTCCTTGATTGGAACCGAGTGAGCAGCAAGCTGTGGGGAAACCTGGCACAGGCGCACCACTGTACGTATCGATACCGTTCCTTTGCGACCAACATCTACGATTCAAGGCTGCTTCAATCTTCTTTTTGGCTGCTTCCTAAGATGCCATCGGGTTTTGTGTTGCTTGTAGAAAAGCTACAACTTGTGGTTGTTTGGATCGGAGAGCGTATCCCCACGAACATGCATCGAACGGTATCCTCGATACTACGTGTATGTAGTGTAGGTTCCGTCGTAGCCCAGTAAGCGCTTGTGCGTTTCCCAAGCCACGGCTTGTCATATTCGCTGAATGACTAGACCAGCTCCCCTCTCCCCTACAAAAGGATACTTGCGGTGTCCATGTCTTCCAAACGTCCACACCGGTAAGTCTGCACCTACATCAAAAAGGCCGTCCATCCACTGGATCCATCTTTCATTTGCTTCGATTCTTGCTGCTCTTGTACCCATTGTGGCTCGTTTGGACGAATGGGTGGATCTTGCTCTAGATCGACAGTATCATGTCCAGGAATGAGCTGAACCATAGAAGAAGGCGGCTGGATCATTCGTTTGGTAGGATCTGGTTGCAGCAAAACGTCCCAAATGAGTTGCTTCCATGCTGTACTGTACTTGTCACTTGCAAAGGATTGTAGAGATGACCCCTGTTTATTGTTGACATAGTCCATAATGGACTGAATGGCTAGACTGTCACTGGGTGCATGAAACGGGGGTTGACCATGCAGTATGGCAAACAAGATGCACCCCAGAGACCACAGATCCACTGCTGGCGTCAGCTGCGAGGCAGGTATCCCACGAATAATTTCGGGAGACGCATAATCTGCCGTTCCTCGTGGCACTGCAGGACTCTGCTGGTTCGTAGTAGCAGGATCATCTTGTCCTAGCCTGACAGCAGCACCAAAATCCGCAATTTGGATTCTTCCTCGAGACGTGAGCAGAATATTTTGGGGTGAGAGATCCGTGTGAATAATGGACCGATCATGAAGGGCTTGAATGGAGTGACAGAGCTGTAGCGCGTAGTGTGCGATGGATGTTGATGACCCTTGGCGATTCTTGCTGAGAAGGGGCAACACTTCTTGTAGAGTGCCTCCCTTGTTACATTCCATGATGAGATAGACGCAGTGACTGTCATGAAAGGCACTCCATAGGTTCACCACACTCTCCACAGACGCCAATTCTTGTTGCAAGACTAGTCGTTCGGTCCAAATGGACCTTGGCAAGAAGGGATACTTGTGCATGGACGCCTTGTCATAGACCTTGATGGCCACCTCCTTTTGAGAATGTTTGTGTTGGCCATAGACCACATGACCAAATCGTCCTTCTCCAATCGTTACTCCCACCCAGTAGTCACAAGTACTTGTGTTAGTAGTAGAAGAAGAAGAGGATGATGTGCTGTTGGCAGAGCCAGTCGAGTTATCGGCCATGGCTGAAGCACAACATGTCTTATCCTTGTTCTGGTGCTGCCTGTTTGCGTTTTGCTTTTTGCTTTGGTTTCTTTGGATCTATTCGAAGCTGCAATCGAAATTTGTTCGATGAAGAGTCGAATTTTTGTCAACTTCGAGCCAAAACATTTAGCCGTTGTTTTTGGAGATGACGTTTGCCGTTGGGCCTCTTCCGACGACCCAAGCCCATCGCAAGAAATGAGCCACACACACACACAATGATGAACAAGCAGGCCGCTGATATCCCAACCTTCTTTGTCCAACTATAGCTTCTCTTCTTCTGCTGTGTAACTTGTCTTGCCATTTTCCAAGCACCTCTTCTCTACAATCATGCACGGCTCTCCTCGCCGTGCCGATGATTCCCCCAGTCGTCAAAACCTCGACCCTCCCGGCCACAATAGCCGTCGTCAAAGGTCCAACGCAGAACCCCGAAGGCATCACGAAAGGGGATCTCAGCGTGAATTCCATAGTGGGTCTAATAGCGGGTCTCCTCGTGAATTCCATAGTGGGTCTCATAGTGGATCTCCCACAATGAGTCGACAGACGGTCACCAATTACCAGGCCATGCGAGATTCCATGAGAGATTCCATGCGAGATGCCCAGCCACCACCACCACCACCAAGATCTTCTCGTAGTATCCACACTTCTAGTACTTCTTCTCCCAGAGGCAACAACAATGCACCACCACCACCATCTCCGCCACTACAACAATCCTCCCCCCGCAAAGCTCCGAACTATCGTGGCTTTTCCACTTCGATTGGTGACATGTTTTTGCATCCTCATCAGGAACGAGTCGATTGCTGTGCCATGACATGTTGTGGCATTTTCCAGTCCGATCGAGATCGGTATCTGTTGCAAGGCGTCATGCCGCCATCGCCTTGGAAGCGTGTGTGGGTACATTTCTGCCTTCCATGCTTTCTCTTTCTCATGGCCGGCTATGCTTCCCTGCACATTCCCCATAAAATGATGAATGAATTCTTCGTCCTCCTCTTCTTGTTGCTACTCTTGGTTGGAATCATGTCACAGTGCCAAAAAGGACGCGTCAAGAGAATGGATATTCGAAAGGATGTCCTGTGGTACAAGTACCAGTTGATGCAACGCAACCAAGAAACCTTGGATCAAGTCATGGACCAGCCACGCCCGGATGACGGCGTCGACTATTACTATAGTGGACAAACCGAACGCGATATTGGGTGTAGTCATCCTTTCTGTTTCCTGGTCGGATGTTACCGCAATGATAAACCAAGTCCCTCTGTGTTGCTATCGGAAAATAGCCCGGGGAGTGTCGATCAAGTCGAAGATTCGCTTTGTTCCTGTATCTTCAAGTTCTTTTGCTCGCCTTGTTGTGGCATGGTAAGCAAACGGACTAGAGTATACAAATTTGTCGTCATCTGGAGCTGTCTAACCTTGATCAATTTGTATTCTTCTTCTTTTGTGTGCATCAGTACATTCAATACGCAGGAGTCTGTGGCATGGCACAGGAATCAAGAGAAATCGAGGCAACGCTGTTGCCACCCGCCTATCGTCGCTTGGATTATGTGACCATGGAGCCCATGCTGTCCTACTTTGAAGGCATTTACAATCGACGATGGATTGAATTTAATACACTCAACACCAACCCCGATGGTCCCCAGGCGACAGGGCCATTCAAGGATTGGACAGTGCCGCCCTTGTCACAACTCTCAAAAGTCATTTTGCAGGGATGGGTCGGACTCACCCTCTTCTTGGGAATTTGGAGCGTCATCGGGCCAATGTTTTGGACTAACTTTGTCAATGGAGAGGGAAGACGCCATTTCTTTTACTTTGCCGACTATGTGGTTTACATGGCCTCGTGGATTGTGTGTTTTGGGACCCTTGCAGTTGTCATTTACCTGTGTCAACGACATAAACCGCTCGAACTGTCCGTGGATTCCATGATCAAGTACTTTGCCTGCGGATTTGTGCTCTCGACAACCCTGTCCATCTTTTATGAACTGTTGGTGGGGGTCGTGCTGCAGCTCCTGATGATGCTCTTCATGACCTTTTCAGGAATTGATGTGGTGGAAGACAGGGGATATGAAATGGCCATGGATTGGGCCAAACAACCATTGATGGGCTTTGCATCCGGGAGCACCTTACAATTAGGATCAACAGCAGCATCGGCGGGCTACTTGTCGATCTTCGGCCGAGATCATCCCATCATATACTCAATCTACCTGTTCGTGACTTCTTTTTTCATGGCCGCCATGGTGGAGGAGATCTGCAAATTCATGGGATACCGAATGCTGGAACATCCAGATTTTATGTCAAAAGACGAGTTGGAAGATGCGGCCGCTGCCGGAGTGATGGGAGACAATGGAGAACCGAAGCGAGTCCTTTTTCCGCACCATGCCCGGTCACTGCAATCTCAAGGAGCTGCCATTACGGTTGCCATGGTCTGTGTGGCATTGGGTTTCTCTATGTGTGAGGATTTGGTAAGTGAATTCTTTGTTTCAAAACGAAGGCTGGTGAAGGCAGAGGGCTCTCATCATTCGGCCTCCCGCCCTTTCAGATCTACATTTTCCTTTACAATGGCTCTTCTGTTCAAATGGAGATTTATGTGCTGATCGCCAGAACACTCTTTCCTATCCACCCTATTGCAGCAGCCATGCAAAGTGTTGGTGTAACGGCGCGTCAAGTCGAGAAAAGTCCTACCAGGTTTGGTAGAATCCTGTTTCCTGCCGTTCTCTTTCATGGAACGTACGATTTTCTTTTGCTGTGGATTGATTTCTTGGCCAGCTTAGGCCGCTCGGATGGATACAACAGCAACAGCGATGAAGCACTGGAGGTTGGCACCCATGCAATAGTCTTCTCCTACCTTGTCTCTACAGGAATCATGGGATTAGCTCTCTACTGGTTCTATCGAGAGAGCGAGAAACAACGAGAACGATTGGCAGCGCGGGATCTGGAGGACGCACCAGTGCTTGACCGACTCTCGTAATGCTATTGACAATTTGTTGGGTTTTGCTGTTGATTGTGTCTACTATAGTGAAACAAGATCAAGTAGAATGGCGTTCAAGCTAGAATGTGTACCACTAGATATGGCAAAGGGATATTTTGCCTTCCCAAGCAGATAACAGTAGGTACCACCGGTAGTCTCGACATCGGCAATAGCAAAGCAAGCAAAGGATATTGCACGCGTACAATACACATAATGGGGGTCACTATGATCCTGGCGCTCTAAAGTCCACTCGTTTCTTGCCATCTTTAACCCGGTGTAAGACCTCGCATGTGCACAAACTTCTGAGCCTACTTGTACCCTCCTTTATGGGGTCTGCCTCCTTGCAAGAAGCATGAACAACCTTGCCACCGAACGCAATGTCTCCCTCTTCGTCTGACTGGACAACCTCGACCAGAAATAGCTGCAAAGGTTTCCCACCGCACAAGGCGTCCTAGCAATATACGATGTATCATCAAAGGACACCTATTCTATTCATCTGCCTATTCTGACTTTAGTTCTACAACATTTCTATCCAAAAGTCTTTCCAGAATGACACTGAGAGCAACGGCCTTGAGTCCCCAATCGGCGAAAGTATCAATGCCGGACGCGATATCGGGCGAGACGTCAAAATGGGCAATTTGCAATGCAATCAACCCCACGACGACGGCGACACGAGGTCGAAACTTTTGCCAATAGTTTTGATGGTATCCTTCGGCACGATAGAACGGTGACAGTGGTTCCACCTGTGTAATGGAAAGAGGGACACCATCGGATTCTCGGACCTTGTCGGCTCCTTCTTGCAACCACTCTGTGGCAATCTTTTGCTGTTCTTCGTCATGTGGAAATATAATGGAGGCGTATTGTCGTGATCCAAGTTTGGGTTCCTGAGCTTCAAAGAAAGCGTCCAATAATTGTTCATACGACACTTTGTCATCGTCATAGACCACTCGCACTCCTTCCACCCAATCACGGCTGAAGCAGACCTTGTCATAATCGGGAACTTCCTTGGCATTGGGATTGCCAGTGTATCCTGCCGCTGCTTCCGAAACACCGTCAATCTTGAGCATTTCTTCAGAGGGTTTCCAAAAGCAGCCCATGCCAAAAGTGGCGTCTCGCTTGGCTTGCAACCGCGATGGTGTGGGTGCCGTCGGTTTGTTCACGCCGTGTGGGGCAAATGCATTTATAGTTGTGCCAGCACTACAGAGCAGCACGGGAAGGACACAACTGAATGACTTCATGGCGGTTGTCGAATAGATGATTACCTAAATAGCTAGTAGTCTAATGCATTGCAATGAATGATACAAGTTTTCGAAGACGGATGAGGTAGCGCCATGGTGGCAGCTTCCAGCCTGTTTTGGAGGCTGAGTCAGCATTCTGAAGCGTGACTAGCTCAGACTTGGTCTAAATCGTCGCAAATATCTTTTTCCAGCCATTTTCTAGCTGGTCTAGTTTGCGACTCGCTGCCCTGCTCATCATTTTTTGAAAGAAACCGTATGCACACTGGTCCACTCTGACCCGTATCGGTACATGTAGCAACTTCGCACTCATAATGAGTAACAACCAATGCCGTAGGCTTGCCATAATATATGGCATGCATACGTCGACGCAACCATGAAATTGCTTGTGTGGTTCCTCCTCCCCATTATCCTCTCCTTTTTGTATTGGTACAATGTGCTTACGCCCTTGCACTGTCCCATATTTGCCTGCTGCTGAAATCCAGAGCACTCGTGTCCTCCCGTCAAGGTACAGGGACGGTTTGACAAAAAGTATCAACGCGTCGTGTCGTTGCTAGAAGAATCTCTCACGGTCGGATGGGACATTGGGGCATCAGTCCATGTACAAGTGGATGGTCAGCCTGTGGTCGACATTGTCGGTGGATTTGTGGACCCGAAACGCCAAAAGCCATTGCAGCCCTACCATGTCAACCTCATCATGAGCAATGGCAAGGTCTTGGAATCCATGGGGGTGGTGCTCTTGGTGGATCGTGGTCTGGTAGAATTGCAGGCTCCCATTGCCCGGTACTGGCCCGAATTTTTATGGCGCGACATTACGCTCCAAGATTTACTCTCCCATCGATCGGGGTCAGCCAGTGTCTGGGCACGGCAACCAACACTCCAAGAATTTCAAGATCGACAAGCGTTGGAGCACTTTTTGGCCACCACACCAATGGTGTACCCTCGTGGATCTGTTCAGTATCGAGGTTGGGCATCGTCACTCTATTTGGATGCGGTCTGTCGCAGAGTTGATCCCAAAGGAAGAAGTCTCTACGAACTGGTCCAAGAGGACATCTTTGAGCCATTGGGTGAACCCTTGGTATGTCCACCACTCAAAAAAGTTGGAATCCAATCCGATGTTACCACACCCGTTTACGGTGCACAGCTTCCTGCCCTTGTGTTGGGGTTGCTGCCACAAGCGATTCTGCCACGTATTGGCAATTTAATGAATCCGCGCATGACGTTGGGACCCGATTATGTGCGCTTGACGCGGGCCGTTTTGTGGGGAACAACAACCTCACCTAGAACTCATCCATCTACCCAACCTACGATACCTTCACTACCAATGCTGCCATCTGACTTTAACAATCAAGAGGGATTCCTGTCATATACCATGCTTTCGTCCAATTGCATGAGCAATGCACGGGGTCTAGTAAGAGCCTATGCTTCCTTCTTTGACGAAAGTACCAGCCGTGACAGAGACAATAACAGCACAACCACCGCCACAAAGAAAGGCATCGTATCTGCAGCAACTAGAGAAGCATTCTTGAAGCCCCTGGAACCAGCGTTTGACGAGTTCCTGATGAGAGAATTGCATTATACTGCAGCGGGGCTGGGATTGAACATACTCGGAAGCATGCCGCACAATACGCACTGTACTGGTTGGTACGGGATTGGATGGTCTACACTCCAGCACTGCTCTGTTTCGGGAGGGAACAACACACGCAATCATACAGTGACCTACGCGTTCATTTCCAATGTATTCTTCCCCGTGCCATACTTAGCTCGAAACCTGCTAGCGGCAGCTGTGGGTGCCATTGTGACTGAAGCAGAAAACGCATGACATCGACGAGACTTGTGAACAAGTGCGATGACGAAGGGGAATAGAGCTCCAACTATCCAGCTCTTTTGAGACCGCGTTGACGGAAGTATTGCATGTCTCGGTTTCATGTTACGTCATTTTAGCAAAGATTGTAGCGCGAGAATTCCCAGGCGCCCCAAACATTCTATTCCCTCAGGCTTCCCACAAGATTCCTGCTTTTAATCCCACAATTAAAATTGAAGTGCCCATTTATTTCCCACGCTCCAGCATCCTCACTATCTTCCACCAAGGAAGACGACCATTAGGACAACTGCCACCGCTGCACAACCAAATATTACACACCATCCAATCCAGTGGCCTTGTTTGTCAAATCCAGCGCGGATGACACGTCCTTCAACAAGCTCGGTGTGCGTGCTGCGAAAACTTCCCTCGGTGTCGACCTCGACCAACGCATTCTCTTCGTCCAGAGCCACCAAGTGGGCCGAATCGATGCGGACCTGACTTGGCGTGGTTTGAAGACTGCAGCCAATTTGGATCGTCGAGGAGCTTCCACTTCTACTTCCATTTCTACGTGCCCATCCGGTGACGTGATAGGCCCCCGGGAATGTATTTTCTGCCATGTTCAATAAATTGGATGCCGATCCCAGCGGTTGAATATCTTCCATAATGTTCACCAAAGAGTGAACAGTGGGTCGCTCGTCTGCAATTCCATTACTACTCTCCGACTGACTTTCCACACACGTCTGCTTTGACAACTCGTCGTCGACATTTGACGATTTCTGAGAGGTTGCCGAGCCGTCTTTGTTGGATGTTTTGATAGTCCCAGTTTGCTGGAGGGTATACAGCTTCTCTTTCGAAACATCCTTGCCATCTGGAAGGCCCGCGATTCTCTCTTTTGTACTCTTTTCCCTACCGGTAGCAGATTGCATCAGCTTGCTATTCTCTTTCGTCTCCTTTATCGAAGCACCAGGAGAATCTTTGGTACTCTCGTTTCGACTTTCTCGGATGGATTTCGCCTCCTTCACTTCGCCGACTCTCTCATTCGGAGTTTCCTTAATCTCTTCAACCACTCTGGGCTCTGCGACTGCTCCGTCGTCCTCTGGAGATTCCATGTTCCACCTTTGCGCAATGTAGCTATCTTAAAGTAACGGGATGCTTTGTGAGATCTCAGGAGGAGGGTACATACGGTAGAGTTTTGTGTGTGTGTGAGCGTTGGTAGTGTGAGCTTGTGGCCTTGCTAATACATGTACGTACCGGTACGTAGATAGCTTGGGGTCGACGCAGCCGTGAACTCGAACTTCTTTCCTTATTGTTGCTTGGGCTTGGGGGCTTGAGACCTTCCGTACCGGTGGGCCTGATGAGGAGTCAGGACTCAGGAGCGATACCGTTTGCCGCTATTTCGATTTACGACAGTATCATGTGCGAGTACGGCACCGGTACGTACTTCAGAGTAAGGGAAGCTACCGATTTAACACAAGTGACCCAGCGCTTAGCAAAGAGGCAGGTTCGTTAAGATTCGATTCACTAATTTTAAAACAAGAGCACGGGACACTTTGTTACCAATAACTCTTTCGATTGCTGGACATTACAGTTCACCTCTAATCCCGGTTGTACGGTACGGATGCGATCTAATTCATTTATTTGCGTTTGCGAGCCACCATGGCAGATACATGTATCGGTACATGCTATGTACGGTACATGTAGACATGTAGATAGAGCCACATATGCTACATATTCCAAAGCGTACAGCCGCACAACGTGCTGAAGATCTGGACTACATGTACCAGGTACTGGTAGTTACAATAGTAGACAGTAGACAGGGAGCTGGGAGGGAAAGGAGCTCGAGGAAAGACCATCGACAGTTGATAGCCACCTCTATCTTTCTTGAGGGCCCTCCAATGAGCAAGAGCATTGATTTGACCACCATTGCGGCACAGTGTACCGTTTTCGGATGACGGGTACTCCGCAGTTTCATCTCGTGTTTTCTGCGTGCCGGCCCTGGTTCGTCCGCATGACATTGTCACTGTCGCCAGACCCATAGATGAATTACTCACGTGACATTCGTAGAAGTACCGTTGCCGTGATACACCAAGCCATGGGTTCTTCCTTTAGTTTTGTCGTGTCCTGCTTTGCTGGTAGCTATCAAACCACCCATGCGGGTGAGCTCCGCCATCATCGGCACAAAAAATCGCTCTCAGAGTTGGAGGTAACTTGATTGAGCCGAATCATTCAATCCGTGATTGATTCATTTCCTTCCGTGACCGACTCGAATGATTGAAGATTTCAATCCGGATCGAAGCAACACTGGATGGGCGATGCAGTAAATTCTCTGTTTCTTGTTTCTTTCTTGTGTTTTGTCTTGTCTTCTGGCGGTCTCTTCATACCCCTATCGTCGTTGCTATTTCCCTCCATACCAGCGTTTCCTCAGAGATAGACAAACATCAAATTGAAAATATGACATCGACTCCTACTTGGTGCCTGGAGAATCAAGGTAGTTTTGCCTCGATCCACGTGATCCTGCCGCGCGCACAGAAGTCCACTGCGAGACAGATGCCGTGGTTACCTTTTCGCAAGGGATTCAGGTCGAAGGGAAGCTGGCTGGTGGATTCTGGGGAAGTCTCATGAGGTCTTTCATGGGAGGAGAATCCTTCTACACGACGGTGGTCAAAAATGTGCATTCCACCCTTCCAGGAGACGTCATGATGGCCCCTGCTGATCCTGGAGGCATTCAGCTCCACAAACTCACTGGCAACCCCGATGACGAATTGTTGTTGACTTCGGGAGCCTACGTCGCCAGCGATGCCACAGTCAACATTGGCACTGCCGTACAGACACAATGGTCCAATTCACTACTTTCTGGGACAGGCTTCTTTTTGCTCCGAGCCAGTGGACGTGGAATCGTCGCATGTGCGGCCTATGGAAGCATTCACAAGTATGAGCTTCGAGAGGGTGAAAGCCGTTCGGTAGACAATGGCCACCTGGTTGCGTGGAGTGCCAACTTGCCCTATCGCGTTGGATTGGCCAGCAGAGGTGGCATCATGGCCAGTATGAAGAGTGGTGAAGGTTTAATGTGTCATTTCGGACCCGGACCGGGAACAATATACCTCCAGAGTCACAAGCCTGGAGAAGCCGAGACGGCCGTGAAACACAGTAAAAGGGCAGCCAAGGGAGCCGCACAAGTAGGAGTAGCTTACTTTGTGCTGATCCCATTCATTCTGGTTTCTGTGGTGATCCTGGTCACAGTCGTGACTATGCTCATTGCTCACCTGAAGAGCATTGAAATGGATCCAACGACGACATATTATGATAACAACAATGATGACTACTATCACGGCAATAAAAGGAAAGCAGCATCCAGTCGCCGGACCGTTCCGAGAGGAGGATACATGGCTGTGGGAGAGCTATAGGAGGCAAAAAGATGCGCACAATTCAAGGAGCAAGATGAGGTATTCAAGTTTTCAAGTCTGCTACGCAACAATCTATCTATTTAAAACTGCATCTGAATCTACAGCTAGTCAACTCAGGCTTGCACGAACAGCCGAGCCATCTCGGGGATTGATAAGGATGCTCCTCCTGATCGCGTTTATTGGAGCTGCTAGAATCTGGCATCGGCTGTCAACGGTATGAACGATTAGTATACCGCCAAAACGGGGAAAAACCTATAGGAGTATGATCTATCCTACTGCAATAACTCCCGTCCAGTGTAATTTTCCCTGCGCCAATAGCCAGCTAGACAAACAGGAACGTCAATCGCTGAGGTTGAGGTTGGAGAGGTCCACCTTGCAGAGGTATTCTCCACTGTCATCTTCGCCGTCCGACTCATCCTTGGAGCGCTTCTTGTGGATAGTGTTGAGTTCGTTCTTGAGGGCCTTCTGGACACTCTTGGAGACAAAGGCGGCTACGTCCTTCTTGGTATTCTTCTTGGCATCGTCGGCCGAACGTTTCCAAGTCTTGTTTCCATTCTTGGGTTTGTCATACAACTTACCGGTCTTGGCTGAAGCCACCATCTTCTTGCTGACATCGCAATCCTCGGTAGAATGACCACACTTGCCGTGGTATACACAGTATCCAGATCCAGAGGAAGAAGAACCATGACCCAACAACCTTTCCATCAACCAACCATCATGCCTACCACGGCAAACACACCCTGCCCTCCTCCCTCCAGCACCATACCATCTACAGGCCACAACCACACCTCCCCCATCCACCCCACAATCCCTCTTACAGTCCACACCACCCCAGCTGACACTGTGCCCCCCCTTTGGGAGCCACTGTCTGCCAGTGCGTCACTTGGCCCTATCGCATGGCTCTTTGTCAGCTTCTGCCCGACATTGTTCGCACACTGGATAGGTCATACC